AGAAACCCCGTCTCTACTAAAAATAACAAAAATTAGCCACGCGTGGTGGTGAGCACCTGTCATCCCAGCTACTCAGGAGGCTGAGGCAGGAGAATCAGTCGCACCAGGGAGGCGGAGGGCACAGTGAGCTGAGATCTCGCCATTGTGCTCCAGCCTGGGTGACAGGGAGAGACTCCATCTCAGAAAAAAAAAAAATCGTCCAGGCACCATGGCCCACGCCTGTAATCGCAGCAGTTTGGGAGGCTGACGTGGGAGGATCACAAGGTCAAGAGATCGAGACTCCTGGCCAGCACAGTGAAACCCTGCCTCTACCAAAAATACAAAAATTTGCCGGGCATGGTGGTGCACGTGTAATCCCAGCTACTGGGGAGGCTGAGGCAGGAGAGTTACCTGAACCCAGAAGGCAGAGGTCGCGGTGAGCCGAGATCGCACCATGGTACTCCAGCCTGGGCGACAGAGCAAGATCCCATAAAAAATAAAAATAAAAAAATTGTGGCCGGGCGCGGTGGCTCATGCCTGTCATCCCAGCACTTTGGGAGGCCGAGGCGGGTGGGTCACGAGGTCAAGAGATCGAGACCATCCTGGTCAACATGGTGAAACCCAGTCTCTACTAAAAATACAAAAAATTAGCTGGGCATGGTGGCGCGTGCCTGTAATCCCAGCTACTCAGGAGGCTGAGGCAGGAGAATTGCCTGAACCCGGGAGGCGGAGGCTGCGGTGAGCCGAGATCGCGCCATTGCACTCCAGCCTGGGTAACAAGAGCGAAACTCCGTCTCAAAAAAAAAAAAAAAAAAATTGTTTTTGAGACAGGATCGGGCTCTGTCGCCCAGGCTGGGGTGCAGGGGTGCAGTCATGACTCACTGCAGCTCCTGAAGAGTTGGGACATCGGGCCCACAGGCACACACCACCACACCTGGCTAATTTTTGTATTTTTTTTTAGAGAGGGAGGGTCTTGTTATGTTGCCCAAGCTGGTCTTGAACTCCTGGCCTCAAGCCACCGGAAGTGCTGGGATGACAGGCGTGAGCCATCGCCTCCAGCCCGCGGCCCTGCCATTCAAAACAGCCCAGCCCTCGAGGCCACCAAGACGTCCTCCAGCAGAGGAGCAGAACCACACTGAGATGGAGTAGTACCCAGGGCCAGAAAGAAAATCGAGGCGGGGCCCTAAATCCATATTGTTTTCGTAAAATTTGTATTTAAAACAATTTTTTAATTTATTTAATTTATTTTTTATTCTTTTTTTAATATATTACATTTTTTAAAATTTTTTCTTTCTTTTTTTCTTTTTTCTTTTTGAGACGGAGTTTCGCTCTTGTTACCCAGGCTGGAGTGCAATGGCGCCATCTCGGCTCACCGCAGCCTCCGCCTCCTGGGTTCAGGCAATTCTCCTGCCTCAGCCTCCTGAGTAGCTGGGATGACAGGCACGCGCCACCATGCCCAGCTAATTTTTGTATTTTTAGTAGAGATGGGGTTTCACCATGTTGACCAGGATGGTCTCGATCTCTTGACCTCGTGATCCACCCGCCTCGGCCTCCCAAAGTGCTGGGATGACAGGCGTGCGCCACCGCGCCCGGCCTTAATTTATTTTTTATTCTTTTTTTAATATATTACATTTTTTTAAATTTTTTCTAAGGCTTCACGGATTTGCGTGTCCTCCTTGCCCAGGGGCCATGCTAACCTTCTCTGTACCGTTCCAATTTTAGTATATGCGCTGCTGAACTGAGCGCTATTTTTTTATTTTTTTTATTTTTTTTATTTTTATTTTTTTTTATTTTTTTGAGACAGAATCTTGCTCTGTCGCCCAGGCTGGAGCGCAGAGGCACAGTCTCGGCTCACCGCAACCCCCACTTCCCGGGTTCAAATAATTCTCCTGCCCCAGCCTCCTGAGTCGCTGGGATTACAGGCACGCACCACCATGCCCAGCTAATTTTTGTATTTTTAGTAGAGACGGGGTTTCACCTTGTTGACCAGGATGGTCTCGATCTCTTGACCTCGTGATCCACCCGCCTCGGTCTCCCAAAGTGCTGGGATTACAGGCGTGAGCCACCGCGCCCGGCCTCTCTGCTCCTTTTGTTCATTATAAATCTTGGTGCCATGAGCACGTGTGTGGACCTGTGTCTTTCTCTGGGTAGAGACCCCGGAGGGGAATTGCTTGGTCACAGAGGAACCCCCAGGCTGTTTTCCGAAGCCTGACTGGTGGCTTTAACCTGTTAGCCAGGCCCTTCCAGGCCACGGGGAGAATGAGGTGGTACCTTGCAGTTGCTCCCTGAGGTGGAATAATTTATCCAGCTGATGACTTATTCATGACAGCAGCTCGGTAGAGCTAGGACTTTCCATGGATTCCTGTAATAAATAGGGCTGGTGTGAGCACCTGGCTAGAGGGCTGGGTGGGAGGTTTGTCCTGTGATTGATGGAGCCCAGGAACTGGAAGCTGCAGTGGGCTTTGATCAGGCCACTGCACTCCAGCCTGGGCGGCAGAGCCAGGTCCCATCTCTATTTTTATTTATTTATTTATTTTAAAATGTATTGGCCGCGCACGGTGGCTCACGCCTGTCATCCCAGCACTTTGGGAGGCCGAGGTGGGTGGATTACCTGAGGTCAGGAGTTCAAGACCAGCCTGGTCATCATGGTGAAACCCCATCTTAAAAAACAAAGAAGGCCGGGCGCGGTGGCTCACGCCTGTAATCCCAGCACTTTGGGAGGCCAAGGCGGGTGGATCACGAGGTCAAGAGATCGAGACCATCCTGGTCAACATGGTGAAACCCCGTCTCTACTAAAAATACAAAAAATCAGCTGGGCATGGTGGCGCGTGCCTGTAATCCCAGCTACTCAGGAGGCTGAGGCAGGAGAATTGCCTGAACCCAGGAGGCGGAGGTTGTGGTGAGCCGAGATCGCGCCATTGCACTCCAGCCTGGGTAACAAGAGC